TGATAGAAGGCTTTAATAAGTAATTAATTAGGCAGAGGTGTTGATATTTTGTATATGTTAATTGCTGTATATCAACCTGTAGCCTTTTAAAGTCTTAATTCTAAATTTTTAATATTATTATGATTATTATTATTAATAATAAAAACTGTATGAATTTATATGTTTGAAATCCCCATTTGTAAAATCTGCTTAAGTTTTCTCTTTTGTGAATTCCTAAGGTACTGATTTGGCCTGTACGATTTTAAAATTGGTCTTTCTAAAAAACAGAAACATTTATGTGCCTAAAAGAAAAAAAAGACTCCCGGATTTGATAAAAAAAATTATAAAAAGAACGCTTGGAGCTCACATGGCGTTCTTTCTTGTTCTCCTATCTGGAAGAAAATATGAAAGAAAGGTTTCTATATAAATCCAGGCGGTAACTCCTACAAAGGAAGCATTCCCACAGGAATCAGCCAAAAGGAGATTTGCAACTCCCAAAACATTTTGCACAAATTAAGCATTGAAATGTTCAAATATTTAGCTGTAGATAATGGTGTGAATTGTCAAACACTTTTTATTGGACACAGTTCCCTGCAGATGTGTAGAGTGTGTAAAAGGCTCTTTATTCCACGTAGAACTAAAAATAAATCTATCTCAAGTCAACAATGAACAACATGACAATTGCATCCAGGTAATAACATTTGCTTATTAATAAAAAATAAAATATATTTGCAATTGTTTCGGCTTACAGTACAATAATCATCAGTTATTACCAGATTAAAGGAGGAGGAATCTTTCAATGATATTCATATAGCTGTACAATATGTGTATAAGAAATTTGCTTATTGCCAGTGCTTCCACTAGGCAGCCGCCTAGGGCGCATTGCGGCTAGGGGTGCCTGGCCACAGCACAGGCTGATACTCTCTGTGTGGGACGCCGTCACGTCATAAATGATTCTTCAGCTGAAGGGAGGGGCAGCAGAGGAGAAGACAAAAGGACAGAGGAAGATGCCTGGTGTCTGGGGTCAGTGTAGCAGCTGAGCTGCCACTCCTTCCAGTGTTCTTCTCAGACTCATTCCTTACTGCAAGTCTGCTGGTGGCTGCTAATCACTGTGGAGTTCCAGTCCTTCTCTTCCCATTCATCAGTGGAGGCGGAGCTGTGCTTATGGAGGAAGGTAATGTCTGACTCTGATGTCTTGTGTCTGTGTGGGACCCAGCCGGCCGTCCATCACATACGCAATGTGTGAGTGATGACATCATCACGATCCCCCAAACTGCTTTTTTTAGTGCCTGCTGGGTCTGCGGATTTGTGTCAGTGTTGGGTGGTGGTGTGTTGTGTTGGATCTGTCCACTGTGTGGGATCGCTCAGTTCAGGTTTTGTGTGTGGACTGGGCTGTCTGCTATCACAGCGTTTTATCTCCCCCCCCCCATTGCCTGGGTAATTCCAGCCTGGGATCTGTCAGAGTGTGGATCCATCATCCTGTTGTTGATAATTTCTACTATTTTTTTAAAAAAAAGTTTGTTTTTTTTTTGTGGGGGGTGCAAGTTGCTGGTCTTGCCTAGGACACAAAATAGTCTAGCACCGGCCGTGGACATCTAAACCGAGACCTAAAAATGTTATCCTAGGATGACACCGCTCCCTCACCCTTTTTGTATCAGGTCAATAAAAACATGATAGAACTTCAGAATCCTGCCTCTCTCCTATTCTCCATAATATAGAGGGGTGTGGTTCTGTAGTCCTCCGAGATACTATAACTAATAAAAGTTAACCCAGGCAGAGAGCACAAGAAGTTATCAGCTTACAAGAACTTGGAAAAGATCAACAGTTACTTCTTGTACTTACTGTCTAGACCAGCCTTTCTCATCCTTTTCATCACATGGGAACCCTTGAAATAACATTCTGGTGTCAGGGAACCTCTGCTAAAAATTACTATGTCTACAACTCTACAACACATTAGTGTGATGGTCAGGGGGAAGAATGCTTCTTACAATTGAGGTCACTGGGAAGAATTACCCCTTACAAACAGCTAAAAAGACTTTTGGGGGTTTATTTACTAAAGCTGGAGAGTCCAAAATCAGACTCCCTTCTGCATAGAAACCAATCAGCTTCTAACCTCAGCTTGTTCAATGAAGCTTTGGCAATGAAATCTGGAAGCTGATTGGTTTCTATGCAGAAGGGAGTCTGATTTTGGACTCTCCAGCTTTAGTAAATAAACCCCTTGGTGTCACCGGTTACTTATCTGAGAGGCAGGAATTGCCCTTTGTACAAGGAACCCCTGAACCCTGAAGAAACCCTCAGGTTCCATTGAACCCCGGTTGAGAAAGACTGGTCTAAATATACAGTAACAACACTCTCAAATTGCATAAAAGTCTCATCAGAGTAGTGCAAGAATCCTTTTAAAAGTCTCTGTGACTTGAGGCACTCAATGACACATTGATTGGAATGGCCATAATTGAAATAAAAGGGCTTTCAATTGTCTTACGACTTTATGTATCACAAGTTGTATGTAAAGTTGCAGCAGTGTGAACCAAGACTTACTTATTTACCAGACCAAAAAGGACCATGTAAGAAGAAATTCAATGTTAGGGATTGCTTATCCTTTTTGGCAAAAATTATCAATGTGTGTTTAGGACCATATAAAAATGAGTAAAAACCTTGTGGCTTTGTACAAGTTATAATTGAATAACTGCATAGAGTGAGCCAATGTATTCATTATATACATAGGCTTTGTACTAACTGCCACTGACATCCCCAGTGACACTAATACAGTGATCAGTGCTAATAAAAAGAGCACTGATACTGTAATAATGACACTGGGCAGAAAGGGGTTAACATCTGGGTCGATCAAAGGGTTAACTGTGTGCTGTTTTACATTATATGCTGTGTGTGTTTTATTAGGGTGACATATTGCTGTGTATTTCTCTGCTCTGCAGAGAAATACAAAACAGCGTGTCCTTGCTGGCAGGAGAGAGACCTAAGTTGTTGTCAGCTTTCCCCAATGATCGCCAGGTACCAGCCGGGGCCCGGTGATTGATGGTGGCGTGGGTAGGGCAGCGTGTGTGCTCCCTACCCGGAAATGCAAATCACATGTGTGTATGTATGTACGTGTGTGTACGTATGTATGTATATGTGTGTGTGTTTGGGTGTGTGTGTATATAATCAGTTCGTATTCTAATAAAGCAAGTCTTTGAGTCAGCTGACTCATTAAAAACATTTTTTTTTCTATGTTGTTGAGGAGGAAGGCAAAATGATTGCAAATTGAATAACTGCTCCCTCTAGTGTCTAATATGTAAATCTCAACATTTACTACAGTAATAAAAATCACTAAACAGAACTTCACTGCATCTGAGCACCACAAACGAAAAACATTGTTTAGTTCATTTTTACTATTCATAGCAAACTCCCATGTCTCCACACTTTATTTTGCTAAGAAATCTCTTTGTAAAACACCCCCTAGCATTTCTGGCTGTAGCCAGAAGATTAATGTAGCACTTCCTGGAATCTATCTGCTCTTAACTCAGGCATGCAGGCAGGAGAGTGTGCTTAGCTGAGAAAACCCCGCCTCCCCTGCTGAAGATTCCTGGGATGTATGACATCATTTGCCTAGGCATGGAAACCAGGAAGTAACTGAAGGAATACTAATACTAGCAGCAGAAAGATTAAAAATAGTGGAGGTAGAGTGAAGCTCCACTATAAAGTGCAAACAAATAAAATGTTGGAGTCACTTCGAAAATTACTTTAAAGTCTAACTATAGTCAAAACTTTTTTTTCATATTGGAGAGGGATTAGAATATCTTTATTTCAGTCTGTGTCCCCATTAGGGAGATTCACTATTTCTATCTACTCTGTTTACCGTTATCGAAATTGAAAGTAAAAGAAAACCCAGATTTTTCAATTTTCCAATGGTGACTTGGAGGTACCCAAGGATTTTTCTTAATTGGCAGTGATTTTCTCATCCCTGTTTTGCCTATGGGACAGGAAGTGAAAGGTAAATCTCCCCAGTGGACACAAATGGCAAAAAAGGAACTGGGGGGGTTATAACCCTCCCTTACACTATATATATATATATATATATATATATATATATATATATATATATATATATATATATATATAATAATAGTTCTACTTTAACCGCTTCCCGACTGCCCTATAGCAGATATACTGCTACAGGGCAGCTCAGGCACGCAAAATCACGTGTGTATATATACTCGATTACTGCAACTCCCTCCTCACTGGCCTGCCTCGCCACAGGCTATCCCCACTTCAGGCGATCCTGAATACGGCGGCCAGACTCATCCACCTTACCAACCGCCTGTTTCCGACACCCCCCTCTGCCAATCCCTCCACTGGCTTCTGATTGCCCAATGGATCAAATTCAAAATGCTAACACTGACGTACAAAGCTGTCCATCATACTGCCCCTAACTACATCACTGACCTAATATGCAAATACCACCCAAAACGCACTCTCTGCTCCTCACAAGACCTCCTTCTCTCTAGTTCCCTGGTCTCTTCCTCCCATGCCTACCTCCAGGACTTCTCCAGGGCTTCCCCCATTCTCTGGAACGCCCTACCCCAATCCATCAGACTATCACCTACTCTCCTCACCGTTAGGCGCACCCTGAAAACCCACCTCTTCAGGGAAGCCTACCCCACCCCCTGCTAATTGCTGACCTCCTCCACTCTTCCTACCACTCCATCCCCCACAGCTTTTCCTCCTGTACCACTATCCCCTTCCTCCTAGATTGTAAGCTCCAAGGAGCAGGGCCCTCGAACCCCTCGTGTATCGCATTGTATTGTTATTGTACTGTCGCATGTATTGTCTCCCATTGCATTGTACAGCGCTGAGTGAACTGTTGGTGCTTTATAAATACTGTATAATAATAATAATAATACGTGGTTTTGCATTTCCGGGTAGGGGGTGTGCGTGCACTCTACCCGTGCCGCCAGCCGCGGCTGTCAATCACCGGGTCCCAGATGGTGATTGCAGAGCATCTCCGATGGGAAGAAGAACTATTTGTAAAGGAAACAGTTCTCCCTGTCAGCTCGTGCACACTGCTTTGGATGGCTGTGCACAGCACAGCCATCCAAAGCAGTGTGATTACAGCAAAGCACACTGACACAGCTTATAGTGAAATAGCACACCGTTCACCCTTTGATCGCCCCTCCATGTTAACCCCTTCTTGCCCAGTGTCATTAGTACAGTATCAGTACTTTTTTATTAGCACTGATCACTGTATTAGTGTCACTGGGGATGTCAGTGGCAGTTAGTGCAAAGCCTGTGTATATTATGAATAAATTAGCTCACTCCTGAGAGGCATTCCTGCCTCTCAGATAAGTAACTGGTGACACCAAAACTCTTTTTAGCTGTTTGTAAGGGGTAATTCTTGCCAGTGTCCACAAGTGTAAGGATCACTGATCACTGTATTGGTGTCACTGGGATATCAGTGACACCAAGTTAGTTCTCCCCAGTGTCAGAATGCCTGCCGCAGTCCCGCTATAAGCTACTGATCTCCGCCATTACTAATCAAAATAAAATAAAAAAATTCCAGTATTTATACCGCCATTTGTAAACACTATAACTTTCATGTGAACCAATTAATTTAGATGTATTGCGATTTTTTTTTTTGTTTTTTTGTTTGTTTTTTTTTTTGTTTTGTTTTTTTTAGCAGAGACATGTAGCAGAATACATTTTGGCGTAAATTTGTGATTAAATCTGATTTTTTTTTTTTTTTTTTTTACTGGACATGTTTAATAGCAAAAAGTAAACATTTTGTGTTTTTTCTCAAAATTGTTGGTCTTTTTTTTTTTTCTTTACAGTGCAAAAAATAAAAACCGCACAGGCAATCAAATACCTCCAAAAAAATCTCAATTCCTGGGGAAAAAAAGGATGTAAATTTCATTTGGGTGCAGCGTTAAATGACCGTGCAATTGTCACTTAAAGTAGTGCAGCGCCGTAACACAAAAAATGGCCTGGTCAGGAAGGGGGGTAAATCCTCTGGAGGGCATTTGGTTAAAGAACAAGTGCACTTACACCTATTGGTGTTGGATGCTTATTGCCAACAGACCTTGAAAGCCATATACTTGCCTGTCCCCACTTCACCAAGATTTTCATACAATCTGCATGATCACATTATAAACACTTAATTGGAATGAATGAGCTAATTACACACAAGCATAAGAATAGCTGAACTCAATAGTAAAGATTTTCAAGAAGAGATTATTCAGCTGGGAAATACCAATAAACTGTATATAAGTATGTGCAATATAATGTATACTAGTATGTATAATCTCCATGCAGGAGTGAAACAGAACACGCTGTACAGACTGTGCACTGTGTACTTTAGTAAACATGTACATGGGCTTTTAATATGGTACATGGGCTTTTAATATGGTACATGGGCTTTAATATGTACATGGGCTTTTTTTTTTGCAAGGATTAAACTGTTATACAAGCTCCAAGAAGCAGGGCCCTCCTATCCCTCTTGTATTGAACTGTATTGTCTCCCGTTATATTGTAAAGCGCTGAGCAAACTGTTGGCGCTATATAAATCCTGTATAATAATAAAAATATATGTCAAAAACCATATCTTCAGTGGATAGCAGAAATGTTCTCATTGACATTTAAATGACAGGCGGCGGAGCTTTTCAGTATAAAAGGGTGGGGTAATCTTAACTTGGGCAGAATTCAAGCCCCCATGTACTGCCTGGGTCCAAAGAGCACCATAAGAACTGATTTGAAGGCTAATGTAGGTACTTGCAGCCACCACTTCAGCACACCTTAAAATACTTTAGGCCTGGTCATGTTCACTTTAAATGCAAGATTTTGTATTATTATTTCTTTAATATCTCTCCATGTTTACCTGTTATTTTGACAGAATTGCTAAAGTCTTGCTTCTCTAATTTTCATCAGATGAAGAATTAACTTCATGGCATTTATCTACTTGGCATAAAGAGCCGATGAAATAAAAAAATCATCAGAATTTGAATATAAAACCTTTAGAACAGATAATCGAGGTCTGGCAGCGTATCAAAGCACATTGTGCATCTGAGTACTTGCTAGGAATGTATGTCTAAAGCGAAGTTTAAGCTGTGATCCTTGGTTCAACCCTTTATAAGTCAGAGATCCATTTATTTGTGTTTGTTGTGCAGCGTGGGGCAGTGAATTGTGCACAAAGCGCGTTCATCTTTCATCCTTTTTTCTTGTTTGATGTGACTTGACTTTTGCTCTAAATCCTCATACTGAGTTTTACGTATCCGGTTTCTAAACTATAATCAACAGTGTAAAACAAGTTGACAGCATTAAACATCAGTTACTGGACTGTGCTCATCAGCGGTGTGCTAGGGATTAAGCACAGACAAAAAATTTGGACATTTTTTTTTTTCATTTTACTTGCAAACTGGTGTGAAAGAGCAAAGATGTATTAAAGAAAAATGTGCAAACACACTTGATTTAAAGTGGTTGTAAAGCCTAAACATTTTTACCTTTTTAATGCATTCCCTGCATAAAGGTAAAAATGTTTAGGTAACAGTATCGCATCCCCCCCCCCCCCCCCCCATGCTTACCTGAGTCCTCACTTGATCCAGCACTGTGTCCATCTTTTAATGACTTTCCCTGCTCTCACAGGCTTTGCACAACTTGTGACTTGTGTGTGGCTCTATTGGCGTGGTTAAATTGAGAGTGTGGCCTTTTGATACAGGAAAACTGATGGTGTAGCAAAAACATTGGCACAAAATTGGGCATTTTTCCTAATCCCCTCTTAAATGTGCAGGAGTGTTAGGGGCAGCTCATGTTCTGGAAAAGATTAATACCTTTTTGAAGCAAAGCCAGCTTCCATGATGGTGGTAATGATCCCTGCAGGTTGGTTAGATTGCCAAATGTCTGTGTAACTTGCGAGCCAGTCTGTATCCACCAAATATTAACCTCTCAAAACCAAGGGAATGGACACTGACCGTCCAAAATATATATAGGATCGCAAACACTCAACACAACACTACCTGGGTGTCCAAAAAGTCATAAATATATAATGTGTTGCGCTCCCAGTGACAATATCTTTGATGTATATATCTAATTAACCTTGCTATGCAAAATGATTTTCAGGTATTAAAAAATATGCAAAATCAAACTATGTGAGTGATTTAAAAAAATATAAACCACTATAGTGTATATAAATTAGATAATAATAACCGCAAAATCAATGAATAGTGCATAGTGAACTAAAATATATAACTGAAAATAATACACATCATGAATAGTGAAATACTCAAAAAAAATTATATATATACTGCCAAATAATTGTGATATAAATGTCCTTTAAATACAGTGACTTTGTGCTTGAATAAATCTTGATTTGGTGACTTTTTGTGAATCTGTGACTTTCTTTGAATCCTCAATTGGTAAAGATGTATGCTCACCTCCTTGTTAGCCTGCAATTAGGCTATACACACTTGTGGTTCACCTCCTATGGAACCTGTTTAGATGGAATTCCTCTTTTGTGAATGGTAAGAACGTGGATATGCGTTATTCTCAGATTGCCCATGTGCGTTTTTCCATATGTGGGAACAAATTGCCAGACATGGTGTTTTATCCTTATAAAAAGGTTTCTCCTTTATTGCTTGCCAACAGGTACACTCACATATGTGATATGCGGTCTAGGATGAATTGCTCAGCTCTAATGATCCGCCAGCCGTCCTGCCATGCACCCGCCGTCTGTCCGATACTCCAGCTCTCTCCGAGTGACCTGGGGTGGGGCTGCGGTGTCACTCGGAGAGAGCTGGAGTATCGGACAGACGGCGGGTGCATGGCAGGACGGCTGGCGGATCATTAGAGCTGAGCAATTCATCCTAGACCGCATATCACATATGTGAGTGTACCTGTTGGCAAGCAATAAAGGAGAAACCTTTTTATAAGGATAAAACACCATGTCTGGCAATTTGTTCCCACATATGGAAAAACGCACATGGGCAATCTGAGAATAACGCATATCCACGTTCTTACCATTCACAAAAGAGGAATTCCATCTAAACAGGTTCCATAGGAGGTGAACCACAAGTGTGTATAGCCTAATTGCAGGCTAACAAGGAGGTGAGCATACATCTTTACCAATTGAGGATTCAAAGAAAGTCACAGATTCACAAAAAGTCACCAAATCAAGATTTATTCAAGCACAAAGTCACTGTATTTAAAGGACATTTATATCACAATTATTTGGCAGTATATATATAATTTTTTTTTGAGTATTTCACTATTCATGATGTGTATTATTTTCAGTATATATTTTTAGTTCACTATGCACTATTCATTGGTTTTGCGGTTATTATTATCTAATTTATATACACTATAGTGGTTTATATTTTTTTTAAATCACTCACATAGTTTGATTTTGCATATTTTTTAATACCTGAAAATCATTTTGCATAGCAAGGTAATTAGATATATACATCAAAGATATTGTCACTGGGAGCGCAACACATTTTGGTTAGATTGCCATTATCCTTTTGGTTACTAAAGACCAATAGAAGGATGGGTGATGGCTTTGCAGACCATAAGGATTTCCCTGAAAGTAGCAAAAGCTAAAATGAAAAATTGTACTTTTATTTAACAAACTAAAGTAACATAAATGGGTAAGCCAAGGGGAACCAAACATCAGCAGTGTGTCATGGCAGACAGACAGTTTGGCATGTATACTCTTCCATGGAGCAACAGCTACTACCATCAATCCTTGCCACCTGAACTGAAGTCCATAGGCTTGCTGTCTCACCAATATTCATCTCTTCCTTCACCCATTAAACCACAGCTGTCCTCTCTTGATCTTATTTTTCCTGCCATAGTGGTAGACCAACCCCCATTTCATATACCTCCACCATATTGGTACAGGCCTTCCCCATTTGTCATGCCACAACCCTGGAGCTGTTGACACAACAGCATATTCCATATTAGTTTCTTTTGGCCATGAAGTTACAGCTTTACCCTCAAATGTGTTGGCCTCACCTGTATACAAACCTTCCTGTCTGTAATGGTATTCTTTTGCAATAATGTTATAGTTTTTTAAAAAGAAATTTTACAAATATTTGCTTCTAGTATACAAAATAGAGGCACATCAGATTATACAGTATAATGTACAT